GGGAAAGAAATCCCCTGAAAACTATAAGCTTTAGAAAATCCCACTAGAGAGAGAGATTTCAAAAGAATGACAGACTGGACTATGAAGCAGAACAGAGCTGTGAGTCAAAAAAGAATTTTATAATATATTGCAAAACTTCATCCACCTAAGCAAAACTAGAAAAAACAATCCACCTATTTGTTATTTTCAGAAGATACCATTCCCCAGTTCATCCCAAAAGAGAGGAACTGGGTAAAGCATTTATCTAGCAGAGACACAAGGGTTGTCAGTCTTAGCCCTTCATGGAAATGAAGGCAACTCAGCAGTGCAGTTGCAAAGAACATAACCAGATGCTGCTCTGGAAAGAAGCTACAGACAGAAGCTGCAAAGCAGCAGTTTCAAGAGAAATGATCTCATAGACTCAGTATGGGAGAAGACAGTTAATAGGGAATTCTAAAAGCCTGCCTCAGGAGGCTAAGATTTGGATGTAAAGACCACTGGGAACTGCACCACACTCACTTTACATACTTACCTTTCACAGGACTAGCATTAGGAAGCCCAGAACTATTCAGAAGGTGCACAACTGAGAAGGAAAAAAAAGTGCTTGTCCCTACTGATAAGGAAGCATGGTTGTTTCTTAACCATGTATTTATAGGATGTTATTTAATGTTTTCCCAGTGAATGTGCTGAACCAAAAGAGGAAATTCTGCATTTTACTCTGACTATGAAAGAGAATTATCATCCTTACATGACCAGGAGTACTTCAAGTTGAACATGAGTCAAGCTGACAGCTACTTTATTAGATGTAAACAACTTGCTATGATCTCCCTGAAGAATTTACAGTACAAAAGAACATATGCTGGCACCTGACCAGATATCCCCAATGGTAAACTTTTCCTTATCATCATGTAAGTTCAGAAAGCAATTGTATTGCTTTCCTTAGTGATAATAGGTGCTGTATTTATTCTGATACAGCTTCTTCATGCAGTGTGTTTTCTGGATGGTCTTAAAATGAAAGTCAGCTTCACAAAAACAGTATGAAAAGCTGACTTCTAAAAATATTTAATCCTTTTGTAGTGAGCTGCCTACACAGTCATGAACCAGAAGAGACAACTAACTGGCAGCATAATCACAGAGGTAGAACTGCTCCAGTTCAGAATCTGTATCCTTTCTGAGTTGCCAGTATTGTCTGACATCAAACTCAGAATCTGCTTTGTAAAGACAACTGAATGACTGATAAGACGAACCAGGAATTTTTTTCCAGTAAATAATGAATTATGTCAAACTTGCTAAGAAAGTTTCTCATCCTGCCCTGTAGCTTTCTGTAGCAAAGCAAGAAGAGTTTACCTTCTGAAAGCATTTCAAATTGATGTTTAAGAAAATAAAGCAAAGTAAATCCCTAAGCAAAGAACTGGGAATCAGATGATTTCATACCTTAACATTAGCCCTGCAGAAGCTTCAGCTAGTCATCTAGGGCTTAGAAAAGAATGTGGCAGTAGTGGGCTTTGGTGCCGAGTGAATTCCGCTAAGTGGCAAGATTCAGTTTTGGTCCTCAGATTCCCTATGCAACCTAGAACTTATCCAAAATGTGATACTAAAGGCAATGTTCATGCCACATGTTTAGCAATACTAAAAAAAATTGGATGACAGGATTGTGTCCTGTGTCTTGCCAGACTCTGGCAACTAGTCAATACATCAAGAAATCTCTCTCTTCACTCAGTCCTAACCTTGAAATTCAGTGCAGAAGCCCCTGCTTTTAGTACACAAAAAAGAACAAGTCTTTCTTTGAAAAGAATATTAACAGTGCAGCTATTAAAAAAACAAAATCTTTGCCCACGTGTGAATAGCTCTGTCTGTGCTCTTCATGCCATATCCTAATCTCTCAGTTTAAGAGACTGTATTAGCCACAAAGCTATATGCTATAGGGGAATATTCTTACTCTCCTTCGTAGAAATTATTTACTTTTTAACTGTTAACTTTTTAACAAATTAACTTGACCAAACCAGAAATGGGAAGGAAGAAAGCCAATACTGACCATGACTACAGCTTAATGTTTAGGACAGTCTCTTGGGAAAGAAAACATGGATTACAAGTCATACCTCAGTGAATATTTTTTATGTTACTATTTTGACCACAAAGAAAAAACCCAGGTTTTCATTTTTTCAAGTTACTGAACTAATCAACAGGTACAAGAAACGTGTTCACACTTCACTTCCTTCATCTCCAGGACTGCACCGAGGCAGGAAGGGATCTTCTTTAATTGAACTTGCTTTTCGTTTTATTGAAGACTTTATAAAACTTACCTAATGTCATCATCTGTGACTATGAAAGCTTTGCAGAGGGGTTGAGATGTATTAAGCCAGACAGCTGGGTTCTTCTCAACAGCTGCAGAGAGCTGCCCCGTGATAGGTGCAGAACTGGTGTGCAAAGCACTAGCAACAGCTGATAACAGGGTATCATCATTGTTACCTGGGCCAACTCCTAAAACAAAGACAACTGAACAGTTACCATTCACATTCCATATGCAACTTCCAGTGGCAGAGTCTTCTCAGTTTCTAAGGTTACATGCACTCATGATATAACTGCCACTGGATACGCGATTGTATAACCTAAACAGTTAAATGCAAGTTCTTAAAAATGGTTTTGTAACAGCACAGTTCTCACTTAAGCTGGCATTTCAAAAGGCATCTAATTTCTAAAATTGGCTAGATTTTTTGCTTGCACTAACAATTACAATATCATCAATTTTTTAATCAAGACGATCACATCATAAATCTATCAGTCACATATTGAAATAGTTTCTTTGTAGCTTCATGGTACTAATCCATGCCAGCATTGTCTTCGCTTTAATGCTACAAGATACTAAATTAATTCTGGAAAATAAACACTGGAGATTTTTACAACACTCAAATTCCCAAGAAAATCTCCTAAGCAGTGGAACAAAGATATTAATTTTGAACTACGACTTGAACATACTTTAGATCAACTTTCACCAACAAGAGTGCAGTTCTGAAGTGTGGTTTATATTAACAATATAAATGAACTAAAAATCAACATAGTTTTGGAGACTGAGGTATTTTGTCAGCAAGTACATTTACAAACTGAAGTTTACTAAATCTGACTGTAAACTGAAAAGCTTGTTAAAAGCATCAAAAACTCTGTCCTTTTTAAGCACAAACAACTTGGTGGATTTGAAGCAACTGCAGTAAGTGAACACAATACCTTGAAGACCTTTAGGTAGCTCCATGGATTTTATTATTTGTTCACTGACATCCGATGCGCTGAGGCCTTGTAGCCTCTTCTCCCAGAAAAGCTAAAAAAGAGAAAACAAGATCGCTGATTAGAAATTAAAAAAGAAACAAACAAAAAGTCAGCTCATGGAAATAAACAGCATTCATGATCAAACCAGCATCAGAACAATGGAAGATATACAGTGCCTAGCAGCTTACAAAACGATCAACCTAACAGTCACATAAGCTACCAGAAAGGTAGCATCCTATCTGGTGATGGAGTTTTAGTCATCAGGAACATGCTGGTACGGAATTACGCCGTGTGTGTTGAGACACTGCAGGCAGCTCTGCACGCCAAGCAGCAGCTACGCCACTCCAGACCTGTGCCGGCTTGATGACCTGGCCCTGTCCGACGCTGTACAGATCTCTTGACTTATCTGGAAATAGAACCAAATCTTTTCACTTTTGGGAAGACACATGAGCTAAATTCATTCACTTTACTTTCCATTGCTTCATTGATTAGCTGGGAACATGTTTCTGTTTCTCACAGAAACCAGTTGCTTGACCTAACTGATTTTTGTTTAACGATGCAGATTCTCCTACTCACTCCTATCTTACTGGTCTGAAGATCCATCCTGGAGTTCTGGGCTGGAGTTTAGCCACGCCTATTCTTTAAAATGGGCCTTTTCTATTTAGCAAGATAGTGATGAAAGCTAGTCAGAGAGTTGATTTCCATTCCACAGGAAGCTACATTTAACAAATAATCTTAATAAGGAGGTAAGCAAGAAGGCAGCTATGCAATTTCCTGTGGAAAGGACATAGATTTTTCTGCAGAATATGGGGAAGGGTAAAAAATCTATTTCTCTTCATGCCTCCGAAACAGGAGACAAAAAAACCAGACAAGCAGTTATTCTCATTTCTAGGAAATTCTTTGTTGCAGCTGGGTACCCAAAAGCCGCAGTTTAAGATAGGCCTTTCGAATGTCACATTCTGTTCTAAAACTGAAAGTTAAACAACTAGAGCATCCCCTTTCATATTCTGTGGAACCTGTATTGCTAGTCACACTGCATCATAACTAAAGCACTGTACATCAGTGATTCTTATTCAGAAAAAAACACTTTTTCAGTTACAGAGAAAGTAACAGCAAAGAAAAAAGCAACAAAGAATATCTACCTCAGCACTAACAGAATCCTACTGACTGAAAATAAAACACATAGTTATGCTAAGAACAATGCAATTCTCTCCACAACATGTCTTTATAGCTTTATAAATCAGTAGGTTGAATGATACCTGTGTTGCCTGAGAGATTACTACTTATTTAGGTGCTCTTCTCTGGATAATAGGACACGTTTGTCAGCAAGTTAAGATCTAAGTAGCTTAGAAAACCCACACAAGATCAACTAAGCTCTTCAACTTCTTTGCAAACTCTGACTACATTTCACACGTTCCTGACATCTCTATGATTTGACAGCTTTTTGAAAGTACCTGTTGCCACTTGTGTCTCATTCTAGTAGAACCATTTAAACTCCAAATGGTTCCTGTAAACCGACTCCTCGCTCTCAACTAGTCTTCATTTTCAACATTCTAACCCAGGTTTGAGCTACATTGTTAGCTGAGTATCAGGGCACCTCTTTTATCTTCTTAGATGTTAAACATTTAGCACCTCCAGTCATTCACTCCTGCTGTTTACCACTATTGGTAAGCCCCCACCCCAAGAAAGCACTCTAGATGGCTTGTAGCAGTCCTTACAGCTCTGTGGACGAAGTTGCAGTGCCTTAAAGCTGTCTAGAACGCTAAAGAAATCCTTCATTACAAAGGCAAAACCAGCAACTCACTAGCCAAACTCTGAAAGGAATATTAGGATTCAGAAAAAATGAAGTCAAAGTGAAATCCTATCAATTCAGTATTTCATCACTAGGTTAGCTTCCCATCTTGATAAGGTCTCTACAAAGCTTAGTCATGTTTTTCACTGTTTAAAGAATTCCACCATTCATTCCCCTTTTCCCCTCCATTTCACTGACTTTTAGAGATAAACAAAAGGCCCAGGAACTCCAAATCCAAGCTATGTTTTTGTATGCTACATGTAAACATAAGACACAGTCTCTGTTTATTCAGGATAAAATTAATTGGTCTACAGCAGCAAATACATCACCAAATACAATCAAATATCACTGGATTTTGACTCTTTGGTTCCCTACTCAAATCAACCCAGTACACATCACAGAGGGAATGCGGAATCAGAACCGTTCGGTTATAGAGGGTGTACAGGAAGGCAAATGCCTGTGTGGGAGAGAGAGGTGCTTGAAGGACAACCAACACATATGAAAGCTTAGAAGATTTAGAAAGTGTAGTGCAATCTTGATTGGCTGGAGCTTCCAACCCCAGGATGCACTCAGCTCTTTAAGCACTGATTTTGAATGCAGGGAAAAAGTCTATACAACCATCAACACCTCAGCTGACTTTGGGGTCAATGTCAGGTAGAAAAAAAGTACTTGGCACTTAGACACACCTGTTAAACGAGACTGAAGCAAAGCATATTCCTAGCACAAAGCTTCCAGCACCGTTACATATACTTATTTGCAAACTACACTGATTGTGCTCCAATCTTCATCTCCCCAGACCTCCACTGAGACTGCAGGCATCACCTTTACTACTTTTTTGCTGATAAATGAAACACATCCTGGAGTTTTATTATGAATTTTCTCCTTCAACCCTTTATGGGTTCTTACGAGTCCCCTCTGAACCCCTGTATCTTCTTCTGTATCTTTCTGAAGATTCTGAGCTGGACCAGACCTGGACAAGTATTTCCCTATCAGCTGCACCAGGAATAGCTATTAAGGGGCAGAGAGAAAGGGAAGGAAGCTGCTAATACAAATTCAGAAAAAGCTTTTCTGTTACTCCACTTACATGATGAAGACGCAACTATTCCACAGCAACAGAAGTAGGCATTCAAGCCACTGAAAAAGATCATACAAGTCTCGATGCATAGAATATGTGTTTCTGAGGTTACAGCCCTAAAAATAGTTTACATTATTTAACTTGCAACTCTCTGATCATTAGTGAGACAGGGAGTAGAAAAAGAGAAAATAAAGCTCAGGCTCACAGGCTTTGTGCCCCACTAAGCAGAGAAGTAAGCACCTGAATTAGGAGCAATTCATAAAAATCCCATCTAGTTTAACAGCTAGCATCAGCATCCATAGACCACAGCCCTGGCAGACTGCCCCCTTGGCATTCCTCTCCTGCCCAAAGCCACCCGGACTTCATAAAGCAAGCAACAGCTCCTCACACAGCGCAAGCATCTGCAGATACAGCCGCTCAGTCCCAATAAATGGCTGCCAGCAACAGAGGCCACCTTCTGCATCATAACCTTACATCATCTCACAACTAGAGGTCTCCTTGTAAATGGAGTGAGCTATCCAGACTCTGGGTTTTTCTCAGCTTGAGTACTCTGGAGGGTACCGCAACCCCTGAAGCACAGGACAGGCTGATACGGTCCCATCTTCCTTCCTCCTGCTGAGAACGCACCAGTACAGCCAGAAAAGCAAGACTCACGCCTCCAGGAAAGAAGCATTAGCAACCATGAGACCCTGTTATTCAGTAATGAGAAGTCTTATGGGACCAGGATAGGACGGAATGAGAGAAGAATCAGATTTCAAGACTCATCATTGATATGATGTGCCTTTTCATTAGTGATGCAAAATGAATAACCATTCTGAGGATTCATCAGTCAGTTATGGGTATTCATCCTGTTGGAGGATGAAAAATAGCTCAAATGCAGTTTTGCTTGAAGTAGTGGTTAGGGAACACACACTGAAAAGAGCCTAAACCCAGGTCCTTCATTTACCAATGTTTGAGTGTTCTAGGTTCAGAAAGACCCGGCAGACAAGTGCTCCATTTCCTAGGAAAATAACTGATACGCATTATGTCAGAAGTGACCTCTTATACAATAACCTCCTGCTGAGCAAGAAATGTATACCTTATCACTCAAACTTACTATCCTAAGGGCAGCCCTGGTTTTTTCCTGTGACAGAAGAGGCAGCATGGGAATGCAATGCCAAGGTCCCCGGGGTGGAGCAGAATTTCCACTTCCTTGTTGTTCTGAAACTCTGTAACAGCAGAGCTGTACTACAGCTGTGCTTCTGCAATTCTTTGTTTGGAGAATTATAAAATATTGCTTCCTCCATAATTGTTTCTTGTCCAAGAAAAGCTATTTGTGACTAATGGTGAACTATAATCTAACCCGTAATCTCTGTAAAAACACAATCTCCTAAGAAACTATTATTTCTCATTCAGAAAACAAAGAAATTATAGATTAGCCTCTCTATTGCAAGAACCACCAAATACAAACATATTATGAGCTGCTCCTTTTCCTTAGATAAATAAAAGTCTATTTGCAGTTGCTCAAGCAATGGAAGCCTACAGGAAATTTTTGCTAGAAAGCAATCCATTCCAATTCTATTATTTTTAAAAGCAAAGCACATATGTTCTACCATTCAAACATTCTTGGAGGGTGACTGATTTATACATAGGCCAATCAATCGAGAACCTCAAATTTCATCTGCCATTTGCTGTTTACAGAGTATTGAAAATACTGTAGATGTCAACAGAATGATGTACTTGACTGGACACACAGAAGAAAGGACAATGACTCTGATGTTGGCGAGTTCAGAGATTTGTTTACCAAGGTAGTTTCTTCTACTTAGACAGCTGCATATACCTGCTCTTAACTCGCAGCAGCAGTCAGAAAAGGCTACCATCTAATTCAGATGTATGATGGACACATCAAGTTTAACAGCACAGTCACAACTCCCGGTAGCTGCCTTGGCATCTTCCCAGCTCTCAGGAGCCGCATTTATTTCCATGCTGCTTGCAGATGCATTATAACCTGGTATGCAAGCTGATTAAAAGTTAGTCATTTCTACACAAAATACAGTCAACATGTCTGGACTGTACTGCAGACACAGACAGCCTACAGTTTTGTTATGTTTTAAACTGTGTTTTAAAGGCTAAGTGAGACCAGAATGCACACAGTTACCATTTGGGAAACTGCTCAACTGATTGACATTGCAGGCATTAAATGAGG